TATCTATCTATCTATCTATCTATCTATCTATCTATCTATCTATCTATCTCTATCTCTGTAAGTATATATGCATATAAATATCTTTATATTTATGTATGTATGTATGTATGCAAGCTTGCTTGCTTGCAAAGTTATCATTTTAAGAACCTCCCAAGTTTCTTTGGAACACAGTTTAAAAACTCATTTTCTCTTCCATCTTATATTTGGTGTTAGTTAAAGTTTAAACAAAATCCCAGCTGGCTGAAAAAATGCAAAGGAGGCCAAGTAGTTTTTTAATTATAATTTTGCATTGTTTAAAAAAAATTACTCGAGGTCAGTAGACAAGGAAAACTACGGCTTTTAGCCAGGACTCATTTAATGTGTAAAATTCTACCCATTCAATTTTTTTAATCAAGAGGCTTTTCTTACCACAATAAGAGACAAGCAGTTCTAAGCATAATCAAACCCACCATTATTTATCGGCCATAACCTCAGCTTCTTCAATTACTCATGTGTTGTTTTTCCTCCAAAATTAGAATGCACATGGTTAAACTCAAAAAGACCAGGACATAGCTACCCATGATCGGTGTCACCCAGATGTTCCCTTAGGAAGAAGCAGGATAATTGAAAAAAACAAATACCAAAAAAACAAAAATACTAATAAGAGAAAGGAAGAGTAAAGGAGACTCATTTGTACTGCATTGAACCAAGAAATTCCCAACCTATATATGTCGGATACTAAGTAGAGCCAGATATTTCTCTCTCTGAGCACAATGAGAATATATCTGCTGAAAATAAAACTCCGTATTGGCAACAGGAGGGCATCCGGCCAGTAAACACTCTGTTCCATTCAGTTGCCCAAAAGTGATAAAGGGGTCATTAAAAGAAGAAGATATGTCGGATGCTACCCGACTATAACTTTAAGATGTGATGGAGTGCAATAAAGAGGTGGATCCCCAGGAGGGAGGGGGTTGGCATCCTAAGACACAACTCAAATATCGGGTGTGAGAGAAAGAGGGTGAAGACAGTTCCTCCTCAAGAGTTCCCAGAATATATTGTAGATGCAGATGGCAGTCCTCCACCTGGCAAGGTTTTGTCTGTTGGTGTGATGCAGTAAAGAAAAAACACCCCTCAGCTTGAAGGAATCACCACGTGTCATTCTTGGGAGCCTGACACGTGGTGACTGAGGAATCCTGGGAGTTGAAGTCCACACGTGGTGGCTGAAGAATTCTGGGAGCTGAAATCCACACACAATGTGATGGAATTTATTAAGGAGGTGGATCCGCAAGAGAGAAGATTCCAGAGGAGGAAGAGGCAACTCAGCCTGGATATTGTGTGTGAGAAAGGGGGTGAAGACCGTCCCTCCTCAATCTGGCAAGTTTTTTTATCTGTAAGAATGAAACCCTAAGGAGCTTGGAAGAATCACTATGTGACATTCTTGGTTTTAGGCCTGACAAACGTTCTGTAATCCTTGACAATGCTGGTTGAGTAGCAAGGGGCTGTGGCTCAGCATCGTGTTAGAGTCACTGCACAAACAATACAGGGTTTGACCATAGCCATGGCTTAATCAGAGCATCAGGCAGACGCTTATTTCAAGAATTTGGCTTTCAGGCCAATTTAATTTGGCCCCCATTGCTTTTCCGAGATCGTCACCTGTCATCTGTGTAACTCTGTGATACAACTGCAGTGGAGGGCACTATCCAAGATGAAATGTCCATCTTTAATTTCCCCATTTCAAAAAAAAAAAATGTTTATTACCGTTTTATCCACCGTCATTTTGGCAGCAGACCCAAAATCCACCAACTTGACGTGTCCTGTTCTGTCAAGCAGGATATCCTCTGGCTTAACGTCTCTACAAGGCATAAAGAGGGTGAAGCAGGAATCAATAAAACCCTCTTTCTGAAATTAAAATGGCTTGTCCCATCGCGCCGCTGAAAACCATTACAAGGATAAGTAATTAAAAGAAAAAAGAAAAAGAGGCTTTCCGATCTTCAGAAGAATTTTCTACTACATTTTATCAGAAGCAAGCTGGGTTCGTACAACTGTAACCATACTGAAAACTTAGCTCCATGTGAAAACGAAGTCAGAAGTATTTATACCCTCCACAGAATTGTTCAACCCCACCCCAAAGCTAAAAATTGCAAAAATGGCTCAAAAGGAACCATATCATCCTCAATAACTTTTTGCATTGTTCGTATGCCTTACTCAAACTTTATTCTACAATCTGGGTCTTAAAAAAATGAAGGAATGTGTTATTCTTTTATTTATTTTATATCCCGCCTTGATTATTTTTTACAAATAACTCAAGGCGGTGAACGTATCTAATACTCCTTCTTCCTCCTGCTTTACCCATTACAACAACCCTGTGAGGTGGGTTGGGCTGAGAGAAAGGGACTGGTGGTCCAAGTGCACTCAGTAAGCTTTCATGCCTAAAGCGGGACTAGAACTCCCAGACTCCTGGTGATTGGCCCAGTCACCAACTGGCTTTCATGCCTAAGGTGGGACTAGAACTCAGTCTCCTGGTGATTGGCCCAAAGTCACCAGCTGGCTTTCGTGCATAAGATGGAACTAGAACTCCCAAACTCCTGGTGATTGGTCCAGTCACCATCTGGCTTTCATGCATAAGGTGGGACTGGAATTCACAGTCTCCTGGTAGATTAAAGTCACTCAAGTGCTTTAATGCCTAAGGCAAGACTATAACTCACAGACTCCCACTTTCTAGCCTGGTGCCCTAACCCTTAGTCCAAACTGCCTCTCTTATGCTTGGTTAGGTATGTTGAACTGAAAAACTCACCGATGGACATAACCCATTTGATGGACGCTGTGAATGGCCAGAACTAATTCTGCTAGATAAAACTCTACAGTGCTTTCATCCAGTTGATCCTCGTATCTGTTTAAGAATGAGAGTAGATCGCCTCCCGGCTCGTAATCCATAACCTTCACGTCGTTTTGGAAGCAATCAGGCACCCATGCAGAGGGAAGTAAAATTTGTGAAATAATTGTATTAAAGTCGATGCAGTCCCTTGAAAATTAAAATGTTCGTGTTTGCCTGCAGTTAAAGATCAATAAATATCTCTACTTTTTGAAGAACGTTTGTAAACAAAGAGAAGAGTTCAAGTCACAAATGCCCCAGGAAGATTCTCCATCATCCAGGTCATGGTTCTCCCAAATGTGCTATTTTTTTCAGGAGGCAACTGGACTTTATTTTCCTTGGAAGACGTTTTGCTTCTCATCCAAGGAACTTCTTCAGCTAAGACTGGATGGTGGGGAAGGGAAGGATTTATATTCCTTGCAGACACAGCTGGTCATTTGATTCCTTTTAGAGGGTCGTTGAGGCCACTTGGAACTTGCTCTGTCCTTAGGGTCACCTGAGTGATGCAAATGATTCCTAGTCTTCAATTATTGGACGCAGATAAACCTCCAAGTGGCCTCAACAACCCTCCAAAAGGATGCAAATGACCAGCTGTCTTTAAGGAGTATAAATCCTTTCATTCCCCATCATCCAGTCAGAGGCTGAAGAAGCTTCTTGAATGAGAAGCAAAACTACTTCAGAGAAAAACCAGAAAGTCATTTAACTGCCTCACTTTAGCAATAGAAATGTTACGCTCAATTTATGGTTGTAAGTCAAGGACTAACTCTATATGATAATCCATAACCTTAACATACATACATATATAAACAACACACACACACATACTATTTGACTCAACACCAGTGAAAGCCAAACTAATTACTTTGTGGCTCGGCGTGTTCGAACACAACCGGGCGCAATCGATTCGATATCCATCACAGTTGAGGAAAATGTGGGTCCATCACAATCACAGTTCTAGCTTTTAACATGGATAAAAAAATTGTGTGTTTTTTACATTGGAAAGGCCTTGAAAAACACCCTTTCGGCGCCTCCGTAGGTGAAAAATTCCGCACTCCCAGTAAAAACACAAAACTCGAAGTTTTGATTCCGCCTGAAAGGATCCTTTGCAGGATTTTTTTTTTCTCCCCTCCAGAACCGGTCATTTCATCTATGATGGCGCTAAACGAAGGGAACTGCATTGCATAATTTTTATTTGCTCTTTGTTCTTTGCTTTTCCCTCCCTGTTTAAGGTTGCAACCTCTGTAAGAAAGGGAGGAATATGCACACAAATACACTGTTTTTATGCTTTTGAGGCAGTCTTGGCTCTTAAGCGAACAACAGCTGGACAAGTCCCTGCGGTTTCCTTGGCAACATTTTCGGAAATGGTTTGCCCCTTGCCTGTTTCCTCCCCCGCGGAGGGAGAGAGAGAGAGACTGGCCTAAAGTCACCCAGCTGGCTTTGTGCTTTAAGGCAGGACTAGAACTCACAGCCGCCTGGTTTCCGGCCTTAACAACTATATCACCCTTCCTGAAGTAGGTAGATGGAGAAGTTGGTGCTGATACATATACGCCTCTATTTTCCCTTCAAACACACTTAAAAAGTTTTTTTTCCACTCATTACAAGTAGTCCTTGAGTGGTGGAGTTCTCGCCTCACAGTTAGGAGGCTGTGAGTTCGATCCTCGGTAGACGCAGGTATTTCTCTCCCTGGGGACAATGAGAATATATCTGCTGGAAAAAAAACTCCGTACTGGCGACAGGAACAGCATCTGGCCATTAAAACACCCAGCTCCATTCAGTTGCCCAGACTCCTCCCTGCAAGGGATTATGGGGCAATGTCATGCCCCTGGTGGAGACTGACTTGGAGGGAGAGGAGGAACAGGGAGTGGGAGTGTGGCTCCAGAGGTGGTGGAGGAGGCTGGGGAAGGGCAGAGGCCGGCTGAGCAGTCAGAGGAGGACCCAGGCCCATCCCCTATCCATCCTAGGGCACGCAGGGAGGAGAGGATCTGGGTAAAACGTGGTCTCCTCGGGAGGAGAGGGCCTTGATCCTCTTCATAGGCTGCAGGTATGAGATCTGCATAAGAGTTTGGACCTGTGTGCCAGCAAACGCTGGAGACGAATTAGTGTTTCATTCCTAGAGGAGGTTTATCTTGGTTGGCGTTCTTCCAACGGACTATACCTGGTTATCTTCCTGAAGTTTGTAATTACTTATCCTGGTCTGTCGTGGAACTTTATTCAGTCCGGTTTGTTTTTGGTTTTTGCTTCATTATCTACTCTTTGAATTTGAACCCTATGTTTCTTTCGTTTGGAATGTTATTTTGAAAATAGTTTTAATCTTCAACGGTGAACAATTAAACAGTGAAGCCAAGCTGAAGGCATTAAAGGACCTTTATTTACGTTTTGGTTTTTGTTATATTTTTGATAACACTCCAGGTCATCACAAGCTATTAAAAGATGATGACAGCTGCAGGTAGTTCTTGACTTACAACAGTTCATTTAGTGACCGAAGTATCGACCACCCTAAAAACAGGGATTTATGACCGTTTTTCACACGGACAATTGCTGCGGCACCTTGTGCTTTTAAAGCTCTGTTTAACTCAATGCTATCACTGAGTAATGTGCTGCACATATTTTATTACCAACGTGGGCCTGAGAGATTTTAAACAGCCCCTTGTTTTGAAAAACTAGCATGTAAAAAGATTTAAAGATGGACATATTTGAAATAGGCGGACTAGCTACCCTTCACGCTCCGTAAATTCTCCCCTTCAGTTTAATATCTATCCTAATTTCCCACTAAAAACTGCTCTGAAGGCAGCAGCTCAGCCCGGTCTAACATGCCAACTAACATGCCTTGACCCCACAAAGCCACAATGAGATTGTAAACTTACCAAGTAGAGATTCTTTTCATCCTGGAACGCATAGTGAAGACGTGGAATCCAAGGACTGGCATTCTGTGATAGAATATTTCTCTCTTCCTCAAAGAATACCTTTTTAAAAAGGAGGGAGGGTTTTTTTTTTTAGAACAAAACCCTTAAACTCACGAAGGGACGGTGGGGAAACATGGATATAACTTTTGAATTTTGGAGTTGCATAAAAAAAAAAAAACAATCGTGCAGATCACAAGCTAGAGATTGCTCAGGGCTCATAATCCATTTAAGGAGCTCGCAATTTCCCAACTTAATAAAAACAAAGTTTCTATGTAAAGAGGTAAACATTTCAAAGTTGGCTACTAACTGAATTGAATTCTTTATTGTCATTGTACGTGTATATACACAGTATACATACAACGAAATTCACACAACACCCAGAAACCAGACTTAACATGCACACACACACACACACACATGACAATCTCCAAACGCCTCTCCACCCTACTAACATGGCTAAATATACACTTCTCGGTCCTAACGAAGGTTTTGTCCCTTTATGGAAGGGTTAGGAACATCAGGACACATAACACAAATATGGCGAGGTTTGGGCTGCAATGATACAACGCAACTGTCAGGATTCCGGCAGTTACCCCCAATTAAATCATGAGTGTCGAGCCGAACTTCCAAAACTTCAAAAGGATTTATTGGGAGTTAACATGTCGGCACTGCCTGGATGTAGCCGACTCTGAGGCACATCATTCATTGTCACCCTTGACCCTGGTTTTTCCCTCCACCCCCTGGGTGTATCATAATTCATATTCTCCAATGGGACATCTCCATAGCCAGGAGTCATCAATCATGCTCTCCAGTTAGATTTTTTTGCGGCAGAAACTTCAGTCACCTAGTTACTATCTTTGAAAACATTTATGAAATGCACTTTCGGTTTGCAAGCTGCTGCACTGCTCCCCCCTCCTCCCTTTCTGTTGGCAACTCTTAAAAAGACCATAGAAATATTTCATGAATTGACAGCAACTTTTGCCGGACTGTTGCAGCCGATTCTCCCTTCTGTCCTGGAAGGACAGAACAGAACATTTCGTATCAAGCCTGTCTGTATTTCTGACAGGTCCCCCCGGGGAGACGCCAAGGACTGGAATTGCAAATTTCCTGCAACTGCTATTCGACCTCCGTGGTTAGAAAATTCTCACACTGAACAGGGGCGTACCTGCTCTTTGGCCAACAGGGCCTCCTTGCTCATCACCTTCATGGCGTAAATGTCACCAGTTGCCTTTTCTTTCACCACCTGGACTTCGGCGAAACGGCCGCATCCTACCAGATTCCGGATTTCAAAGTCTTTCGGGCTGGGTTGGAGTTCCCGGAACGACGTGATTGAATCTGAATCTGCGGAAGATCGGGAAGGCAGGAGAGGAAAGGAGCAAGGAAAGGCAGCTTTAAGGTGTGGGTCAACTCATAAAAATATGTCTATGGCCGTTTTAGAGTTGCCAACAGAAAGGGAAGGGGGAAGGGGCTTTGAAAGAGCAGTGCGGCAGCTTGGAAATCGAAAGCACATTCCACAAATTCCAGTCTCCTGGGATCGTGTGATCCCCTTTTGCAACCTTCTGACCAGGGAAGTCCAAGGGGGTGGGGGCAGCCAGATTTGCTTAACTGCGTCGCTAACTTAACCAGCTGCAGCAATCCGCTTTACAACTATAGCAGGGAAGGTCACAAAATGGGGTGACGTCACTTCAGAACCGTCTTGCTTAGTGACAGAAATTTGGGGCTCTGTGGTGGTGGCAAGTCAAGAATTGCCTGTATGGGCCAGGCCAAACCACGCTGTCAGGATTCCAGCAATTGCTCTAATGAAGCGATTCTTGAGCCAAACTTCAAAGGATTCATTAGAGGCGACATGCTGGCCCTGCCCTGTAAGAAGCCAACTCTGGCCTACGTCATTTACAGTCCCCTATGACCCTGTTTTCCCCCTCCCCCCAGGGTGGTGTCATAAATCATATTCTCCAATTGAGCACCTTCACAGGCTGCGTATCAATCGCGTTCTCTGATTAAATATCTTCGTGGGCAAAAGCTCTGGTAGCTTAGCTACAATCTTTTAAAGAGAAGAGTCAGAATGTACTTTCGCTTCCAAACTGCTGCACGGCTCTTCCAGATTTCCTTCCTCTCCCCCCCGCCCTTTTTTTAATGGCAACTACCAAAACAGGCATAGGAATATTTTATGAGTTGACACACACACACACGAGTAGATGGTTATTAGGCTGGCTTGGAAAGCGAAGGCCACTAGAATTTCATGCGGAAAAATTGCGTTTAGAAGCTCTAGGTGACGGGTGTTGGCAACCCGTGGCTCTGGAGCCGTATGCGGCTCTTTGGGCCCTCTTCTGTGGCTCCCTGTTGGCTGGCTCCGCCCCTTCGCCCTCCCCTCCCAGTCACTCCTCACCTGGCCTGAGAATGTAAAACACAAAAAACAGAAATGTGTGTGTGTGTGTGTGTGAGAGAGAGAGAGAGAGAGAGGGAGAGAGACCCATTTCCCACAGAAAACACTGGGACCCACAAAACCTGGGTAGGCATGGCCGGGGTGCGTGTCATGTGACTGGGTGGGAGTGACGTTGAGTAGGCCACGCCCACCCAGGTTTTGTGGCTCCCGGTGTTTTCTTTTCCGTGGGAAATGGGTCCCCAATGGCTCTTTTGAGTGTTTAAGGTTGCCAGCCCCTGGTTCTAGGAGGAAGTGAACAAGGCATACGCTTTTTAAAGAAATCGCCTGCGTGTTTGGCTTTCATCAGCAGAGAACGGCTGCCTTCCTCATACAGCACCAGAAGGGAGTCCAGAATGCCTTCTCTTGAGAACGGAGACATCTGCTGTTGTGCCAGAGATGGGAACTTCCCCTGAAAACAAAGGCAGCTCTTAGTGAAACAAGAGCAGAACCGTCGTATTTATATACAATTCGTAAACCGTCCTGTTTTAGGAATGTGTTATGCAGTACCCAGGGCTGTTGGAGGGGTACAATAATGACCCATTTCTCCTTCACATTTACAGGTTAGTTTCATTTACTTTATTATAGTCACTGCACCTCGTACAACTAAATTAATGACTATCTTCAGTGTACATTGTGGCTATGAAAATAAATACAAACACCCATCCTTTACATTCTATACATTGAATTGAACACCGCATTAATATTGCACTATGCAGGAGAATTCAATAGAGCTACTGCCCTGGGATAGAAGCTGCTTTTCAGCCTATTTGTCCTTGTTTTTATTATTATCCTGTACAAGCTGCCAGATGGTAATAATTCAAAAAAAAGGGTGCCCAAGATGAGATGGATCTTTGAGGATGTTTTGAACTTTCTTAAGGCAGCGGGAGCTATAAGGCTCTTCCAGAGAGGGGAGAGGGCAACCAGTGATCCTCTGGGCAACGACCTTAACCTTCTGGAGTGACATCCTATCTGCCCCTGTGCAATTGGCAAACCATACAGAGGTGCAGTAAGTTAAGATACTCAAACAGAACAGTTTGAATAGGAAACAAATTCACAAGCAAAGTTACCTGAAGAAGCAGGTTAAGTCGAGAAGCGCGGCTGGCAATAGAGTCCATTGTGCCCAGTTCTGCCGGATGGGGTGTTGCATATTTAAATTTTAGCATCGCGAGCAGCAAAAAAAAACCCAGCCCCACTGAGGTAGAAGCTGTAGTACAAAATCTCTATTAGAAAAATTAAAAAAAGAGAGGAAAATATAAGATCTTCGGCACTTTTTAGTTCTGAAAATCGCATTATATCCTGCCATTAATCATTTTAAAAGCAGTTTGGTCTAGTAGTTAGGCACCAAGGTAGAGACCAGGTGAGTTCCACCTTAGGCATGGAAGTGGCTAAGTGACTTTGAGCCAGTCATTCTCAGGCACCCCACAGCCTGGCTGTTGTTATTGTGGGGGAAAACAGTGGAGGAAGGACTACTGTATGCGTTTGCCTTGGGTTATTTATAAAAATAAATAATAAAGGCAGATTAAAAAAAGAAACACGCTAAAAAGCAACTTAGCTGGCAGAGACTGAAAATAGAGAGTTCATAAACACTATTGTTTGAGTAATAGGCAAGAACTCCAAGGAATCTTATGATTGAATATATCAGCTTATAATCGCTCCTCTTAGGCCCATAAGGCAACCAGCAATCCAATGGTAATGCACAACCGCTTAAAGACAAATGACAAAATGACAACTAATTTTCTTCCCAGTCCAAAGAGCTCAGATGAAGAAAGACATCCCTCGGTTCTTCAGGATGAGGGTGTCAGGGATGCGTGCAATTCTTGCTTCCACGGTTTGACAATCAGAAGGGGACATAAAAGTTATTAAACGCTGACTTTAAACCGCAAATGGGTTTCCTGGCCCCCATTCTTTTTTTCCCTTGGTCGGACAGATCAGCCATTAGCAAGATGTCAGAGGGAGGGAAGGGAATGATTATTTGGAGGCAGCTGTTAGCAACGCTGGGAGAGTCATTGTGATGAGAATCAACCTTCCCAGTTTTCTCCCTGCTGGGATGGAGATACTGCTTTTCTTTGCCCAAGAGAGATGGGGAGGTTATGGGCTTCCTGCCCCATCCAAAAATAAATTAGAATAGAACAGAACAGAACAGAATATTGGAATGAAGAATGGAATGGAATGGAATGGAATAGAATAGAATGAAGGAAAGAAGGAGAATGGAGTGGAATGGAATAGAATAAAGAATAATAGAAAGAATAGAATATTGGAATG